AGTAGTATAGTATAGTAAAAATGTTTAGCTTATATTCTTTCCTCATAGTTATTTATTAGTTAGTAGTAAACTCGATTACACTTAGTTTTGTCATTGTCATTATGACCTAAGAAATAGTTATGTTTTGTTTCATATGTATTGTTTGTAATTTTTTAAGCTAATTTCATGCAAAAATTATGTATAATATCAAAGTATATCGAATAATACAAACTGTTTCACAATATTTATAATACAATAAATAAATGATAAAAAACTGCAATTATTAGATACTTACATATTTAATAATAAACTTTGAGAAGGTAAACTAAATAAGTGGTTTTAGCTATCATCTGTTTCACTACTGGTTTGATTTGCTAACATATCTTCTTTTATATATATAACAGGATAATAAACACCGTTTTCACTTAAATCTTTTTTAATCATGTTGTTTTTTATCTTAGCCAGGAAGCAAACAAATATATAAATTCACTGATGGTATACACTTTTTTTCAGCTAAGACAGTTCATTTATAGATTTTATAGATTATATACACGTATCAGTTTATTGATCAATAATTAACTCCTAGTTCAAATTTATTTATTGATTAAACATTCAAAGTTATAAATATATTGGTATATAAAAGTTATTGTTTTTGATATTAAACAGTGGTTCGTGAATAAATCAGTCTTCTTCTGAAATCTTGTTTTCATCTTCACATTATTAACATGCCAGTCATGTTCTCCGTTACAATCAATATTATATTAATTATGACTCAACAATCATGATAAACACTAGCATAAATCAATATTTATTACAATTTCCAACATAATTTTGATTTCGCCTGACAGTATAGTTCGTTCTTTTTTTTTCAAAACAATGAATCAGTTGGCATTAAAAGAGGAAGAATGTATTTTTAAAATCTCAGCGAAAAAATTTGAAGTAAATCCAACGTTTCGCCTGGTAATCTTGTTCAAGCTTTTCCAAATACATTCTTCCTCTTTAATGACTCACATCAACTCGGCGTGCAAATACTGTGAAACTATTCGGTCAAATTTAGACGAAATTTCTTATTTATTATAATGAATCAATTGTTTGTGAATGATCATAATTCCACTTTAACAAACCAACAATTCATAACACATTTTAAAAAAGTTACTAGAAAATAGTTTGGGTTTATCATGTTAGTTAATTCTAACCGAATCGCTCTCTGCATGTCAATAGGAGTAAACCATTATCATTGATGCTCAGATTAGTTTGATACAATCTAAATAATTATTGACTATTAAATAATACATTTAAAATTAGTAAATTTCATTTAAATAACAGGTTCCAAAAGTTTAATCATTAAACTTTTTCATAATCAGCATAAAGTTGTGGAGATTATTGCGTTTCATTGATATGATGAACCGATCAATGTTAAGTAATCATGGAAAACCTACTAGGGGACTCTCCAGTCGTCTGTAACTACGACCTCACATGCAGGAATTGAACCTAAAACTTTCAGTCTCGCGCGTCAACGCTTAATCTCTAGATCACTAAACCCGGAATCCAACGGTGATTCCCCGAGTTTTGATGGGAAGCCGTGACAAATAAAGTTCATTCGCATGGGGCACTTACTCACTCAAGAAATGAAAAACAATTGCTCAATGTCGTGGATTGATTGAATTTAGATATTAACACTGTCGGATGTCGGCTCAAATGGGTGAAGATTACGCGTCGCACCGAAGACCTATGGTTCTATGTTCAATTACTTCATGTGGGATCGTGGATACTAACCACTGAGATGTCGCATCCCAGGATGAATCAGTCGTTCAGGGCTTCCAGGTTTTCCACCGTCATCTAACATTGATTAGTTCATGATTTCAATGAAACTTTAATATTTGCCGAAGTAGTATAATTAATCAAATATTCATTTGATTAATTTTGTTACTAAGAAACTATTCTTAACAAAATATTTACCATTTAACCGAATGCAGATGGACAGATAAAATTTTCGAAATTGGCCAACTAAAGTTTTTTAATGTGACTTCATTACATGTTTTATCTTTTTGACTGTCAATAACATTAAACAGTTTTAAAACAGAATAATTTGATGACACTGTATTTTTATTAGAACACAGATATCATGAATAACAATAATTCTACAAAATACAACCATTATTACGGTATATTTATTTTATATTATAAAAGAATCAAGTTGTTTTCTTCTTTTTTTCCTCACTCACATATACTATGGAAAACGTTAACCGTTCATTTTCAAGATTTTTTTTTGTTTTTTCTCTTCTCTTCCATTACTTCTAAGATTATTTTCTTTCTGTTTTTTAGTTAAGTATAATCATCACATTTCTCTATTAACCTGGTATTTAGTTAAAATTGTATATTTTAAACAACAGTTGACTAAAATAAGAAAAACAAATACACTTTTTGGCGAGACTATAATTTATGGACGAGCCAATCAGGTTTAACATACCAGGTCCTGAATTTTGGCGCGAAATTCATTCACCCATTTGGCTAAATAGAATCCTGGCATTATAGCTGTTGTCATTTCGTGATGAAAACCCTAAATCTGTTTCCTAATCCTAACCATCAACTGTTAATCATCATTCTTATTCTTCAAACTGCTTTATAACCCTCATTTAGCTCTAGTAAGTAGGTAAACACTCTCAAAGTCACTTAAGCGTCGCCCGAATGTCCATAAATCATAGTTTCACCCATTTTTTTGAGAAAAAATTAAGATAGTAAATATAATTATTATTTTCTTAAGTATTTGATATATACTCAATCAATACTGCATTATTAAACAAAAAATCAACAAACTGAACTCTGATTTATAAACAAAGATGGATGGTGGCTAGTAGTAGAATCCAGGACGCAAATCTGATCCTATTTGGGACTCGTCAGCTGGATGTACTTGCATCCCAAAGTTGATGTTTACTCGAATCCAGTATCATCTCCTCAAACGCCATCACATTATCTCCTAAGCTACTGAATCTAAATAGCCACTGGTTTGTGTAATGCTGAGGGATTTTAATTCATTTTGTATTGGTTGTTTGAATCTTTTGATTGATGTTTAGGACTGTAATTGATCAGTCTCTTATTGGCATATGTACATTCTGTGCGAGCTGCATCGATATAGCCTTCATTCACAAGCATTATAAGCAAAGATGGATAGTGGCTAACAGTGGAATCCATGAGGCGCGTTTCGTCTTATTTGGGGCTCGTCAGTTGGACATACAATCCATCTCTGCTTATAATACCTATTATGAAGTTTTTTTCGCCTGTGTGAAAGCACAGGATGCACATATGCGAATAAGAGACTGATGAATTACAGTCCTAAACATCAATGAAAAGATTCAAACAAACAATAAAAAAGTGAGTTGAACTCTGATTTGATGTTTTTTTTCATTTACACCTACTTAGCAGTAAAGTAGATTAAATGGTGGTTGGAGGTGGTCCACAGGAAACGCTGGACCCGGGTTTCGTGCTACTTGGCACTCGTCAGCAAGGTGTACCTGTAATCTTGAGGGAACCGGTGCTTAAACTTAAAGAAAAAATAATCACTTTTATGAACGTTGTTTTTTATTGAAATTCTGTTTAAACTGAAATGAATTCATGCTAAAATAATTGACATTTTATCTCTTGATAGATTATTGTAAGATAAGACGAAAACAATACACAGATATTTTATCCCAATTGAATATGTCTTAGTAAACGGATTACAAAGTGTAATGATTTAAGTGTTCACACTATTTGGTGTACGATTTCTTTTTTCTTTAATCACCAAATTGTCATTTTTTTCACTGAAATCAAATTTTTGTATAGTTTAATAATGAAGACAGAAACAATATTGTTAAGTAATTTTGGTTGTAACTGACCCGACTATCTATAATCATCTATATTATGATGTGTCATTTTAAAAATGGATTTTTCTACAATTAACAAGTGAATTAAATTATATAATACTGATAAAGAGAATTGAATCAAGATGGTTGTACCGAATATAAATATTTGTACATAAAGAGATATCAATTATCGTTTGATTATGTTATTTAGTGGTCTACTAACTTATGTACCTATACCTGTTATCTTTCGTGGAGGAACATAAGCCGTCCACCAGGATTCTTCATCGAACTATGTTCTAGGCTCTCCATTCTAGTTGTTTCCAGTTGCTATTCGTCCTTTTGATGTTTGCATTTGATTCACGACCCAATGTGTCCCTTGGTCTCCCTCTTTTTTCTCCTTCAGGGTTACAAGTTAGAGCTTACCTCGTAACGTAGTCTGATGATTTCCGCAAAATATGTCCTGTCCACCTTCAGCGTCTTCTAATTTCCTCTTCTTTTGGACGCTGTTTTGTTCTGCTACACATTAGGTTGCTGCTGATGGTATCCGACCAACAAATATTGAATATTTTGCATAGAAAATTGTTTATATATACCTGTACTTTCTTGATGATGGTTGTAGTATTTCTCCAAGATTCAGCACCATACAATAGAACTATCTTGACGTTCGTATTAAAGATCTTGACTTTAATGTTTGCTGACAGTTGTTTTGAGTTCCATATCTTCTTCAGTTGTAGGAATTCTATTCTTGCTTTCTCAATTCTTGCCTTTACATCTGCGTCAGATCCTCCCTGTTTATCGATGATGCTCCCCAGGTACGTGAAGGTTTCCAACTCTTCCAGATTTTCTCCATCAAGTATGAGGATCTTGCTTTTTCCATTGTGCATGTTGAGGCATACTGTTTCAGAGACTGCTGCTTTTTAATGGTCCACGTCAATCCAATACAACTTTATTAAAACAGTTTAATTCCAAAATGTACTTTTTTAAATGTTATTTTACTGTTTATTAAAGATATTGTCTCATATGTAAAATATATTCTGACAAGTGTAATACCTAACTAGTGTAATATGATTTACGGTCGTTTTTTAAAAAATAATTTCCAAATGATATTTCACTTTTTTTCTTCTTTTAGTAATATCGAACTATTATTATCAGTATCTTTTGTCTATTAATTGTACCTAGGTATGTTTTTCACGTCATGATTTATCTGCTCATAATGCCGCCACTCATAAACAAGATCCTCGACCGTATAGATGTGAACAATGTGGTAGACAATTTTCAACATGTGCCTATCTATCACAACATAGACGTATTCATACCGGTGTGAAACCGTACGCATGTCGTTATTGTGATCGTCGTTTCACTCAATTAAGTCATGTACAACAACATGAAAGAATACATACAGGTGAAAAACCATATCGGTAAGTAGTTATTGATGTTTTTCTCCTTTTTTTATGCTTTTTTTACTTTCTTTAAAGTTTGCAAAATGTCTGCTGATTATAAAGATCCTGTAAATTATGTAAATTTTATGAATGAAAGACAATTGAATAATTTAAACAATTTCACGTGTTTTATTTATTAGTTTGGAACTAAAACACTAGTGTTAATATCGAAACACATCAATCTAATTTGATATTTGGTGCCAGATAAAGATTTTTGGTTTTTAATAACTGTTAAAATTGAATCTACATGTAGTATTTGAGTGATACTACTGTTGATTCATATCCATAACATCTTAAGATTTCAAACTGAGAATATATAGTGAATTTACTTCATTTCTTATCTTCATCTCTCTATCTCCCTGTTTGTGTCTGTCTATGATCATACCACTGTCTTTTCAGATCCACTGAAATTTAGTGAAAACATTAACTAAATAATATCAAGTCATAGTTAACATGATCACTGAGTAGTAACTAAAATGTCATATTCTTCTGGTTGTTTATTGTTGATGGAATTTTATTTGTCTAGCTACCATTTCTTCACTAGTTCAAGTGATTCTCAAGATTGAACTGTGAAACTGGTCTTGAATCAGGATTTGAATCATAAAGTAAACATAATTTCCTTCGAGATTCTAGTCAAAGCATTTGTTCGAGTGGAAACTAGTACAAAACCTGAGATGAGAATAAAATTTCTGATCAAGTTTTATTCATACTGCTTATCCAATCGATCTAATTATCTTTGAAAGACGATTTCAATGACGTGAATGCAGAACGTGTAATTACATTTCGGTTGGTTGAAAGTAAGAAGGTATAAAACTATGACAATCGTCTTATATCTCCATATAATGAACGTGATATCAAGTATGTTAAACTGATGACGGCCATACTGCAAGTTGATTGATTGAATTCAATCAACATTTAAAAGACTAGACAACTGGATTTAAACGCCAACTGTCTATTACTACCTGTCGCCAGATAACATTTACGGAAAGTATGCTACACAAAGAAAATGAACAGGTTTGTTCATGGAACAAGCTATCAATGTGTAGCTTCATTTAATCCATGTTGAAAAGAATATTAGGCTCTGAGTGAATTGTGCACCATTCTTGATTACTTTGAAAGTTAAATTTTCTATCGAAAACTATCTCATCATATATTTTTATTACTTAAAGCTGGATTTTTTCAAACTAAATAGATTAAGTCAACTTCTTATTAGAACAACTTTTTATGAATATTCAATAACTGTTAATCGAAACCATAAGTAATGTATTTTATTAATTAATTTCTTTAAGCGAACTCAATCGAAGTACATAAAGTGTACAATCAAACTGGTGATGGGATATATTCCACCTTTCGTGTATGTTTGTGATATGAAAGCAAAATAGCGACATATTTCTTGCATTGTATCGAGGCTCAAATAGTTCGATTGTTGGGTGGTCAAGTTCGAGTGGTGACTACTTTACTTAGATTGTATGTAGGACCAATGATTTTTACATTAATCAAGTGACACGATGCTGTTGAAATGACAACCAAGGTGAACGCTTAACGATGACTAGTAATCCTGAATCCAGTTCACCTATGCTCATTCACTCGATAACCGAAATAGGATACAACACACAGTCGTTAAATAACTTCGATTTGTATAGGTCCAATTCAATGACCCAAATGACAACATTATAGAGTAAATTCTTGACGATACATCAACAGGAATACCTACACCATAAGTGGAAGACGACTAAGTGATAAGTCCGTAATTATCAAACAATGTTTAGAGAAAAGTAAAACACAACAATAGTTTAGGCGTCCAACGAAAACATGCAAACAGGGGAAATAAAATGATACAATAATCCAAGTAATTAGAATTATGTAATAAAAATAAACTGACAATTTGATAGAATAGTTCTAGAAGTTCATTTTTGCTCAGTATTTACCCCGTTATAGTAAATAACTGTTTATCGTTTATTGTAATGAATCTAATGTTAAGTGATTGACGGCATTTGACAGTAATCCCTAAATATTATATTTTCGAGCTATTTCTCTGTAGTAAACACTAAATTTCTACGAATTTAGAGAATATAATGCTTTCTATGTGGCTCTGATCTGCGTAATAAGATGTTAAATTCAAAGGCGTCAGTATTAAGCTACTGTCGCCGAAATTATCACCACCTAAGACTGAAATTTTTATAGTGGTTGATCACTGAGTAAAAATAGTCAGAAAGAATATTCTAAGATTGACTGAAAGAAAACGCGTTAGCGTATACTTTTAAGCCATTAGTTATTTGAATGTTTTAAGGTAACTGTTTTATTTAATGTTTGCTTAAAATGTTGGTAAATAAATTATATGGAAAATGATATTGTTAAATAAACTAACATTGGTTGGTTTATGATCTCAATGAAATTAAACATTCTCTACAACCCGATACTGGTAATCATGTGCTCACTAGTGACCAGCTTCAGGAGGAAATTCTTAAGGTTATAGTGAGAAGACGTTACTAGAGGAGTTCAGCCGTATCTAGTAAGAAACAGTTACCCACTGAAAACAAGGAAGATGGTTACGCATTATCATGGATTGATTTAAGTTGGATACTTACACCGTTGGATGCCAGCTCAGCGAACTAGAGTTTAATCTTTGATATACGAGACCGAACGTTCTGGGTTCAATTCCCTCTTGTCAATGGATCTTCGATGCTGGTCACTGAGGAAATCTCATACGAATCGGTTGTTCAGTGCTTTCAGGTTTTCTATGTTTATCTGAAATTGATTAGTTCATGATCTCAATTAAACTGTGGTGTATGGTGCTTATATCTGTTGACATAATTGGCATGCAACACCATTCGGAAGAGGAAAACCTGGCAGCAGAAGGCTAAGAAGATCGAGTTGAATAGAAGAAAATATAGAAAGAAATTATGAATTGGAATAGTCATACAGAATGTCAAGGACAAATGATAGAAATTCGCAAATGAAGTATGCAGTTTATGGTTCTCATATATTATCAAGATATTTATACAGTGGCTGTCCCAACTTGTGTTTTCACTCATTAGAAAACTACAATGTATCTGTCAAAAAAAAGTTGTCAAACTTGACAAATCTCAGGAAATTGTAGGAAGCTGTTGTTTACTTAGATTTTCTTTATTATTATTTCTATAATATACATCGTTTCTATTCATTAACTAACGACTAACTACAATCATTTACAATCATTAACAAATTGAACATGTTTACAAATTGTTTTGTTTACTTAAAACATTTAGGATATTTAATTTTTGATGAAAATTTATGACAAGGTCTTTTTTCTAGCATTACAAATCATTATAATGGTAGATTGATCATTAACAATGATTAATCTTTTCGTTACAATAATATAACCATACACAAAGTGGAGATTAGTATTATTCTTTTCATATTTAAATATTGAACACGACTATTATTCTATATGTATGTACACACATAATGTGAAAATCAATAAATTAGTTACTATGTACATGGATTCATGCTTACACTGAATATTTTTTCAATACAATTATTAATAGAATATTCATTTAGTCTACAAATTTCACTAAGTTTCAATTAGCTCTTTTTTTCTTATTCCATAATCTGTTATTCATTGTCCATATTCGGTGATTGGTAAGAATCCAATGCTGATTTTTTCACATCATTTATTTTATATTTTGTTTGATTTTTTTTCAGTTTGGTAATTTGTGCATTTTTTTTATTTGTAGTATTTTTGTGAAGATTTTTTAAATTTTAATCGTCCTCCCCCCCCCTCATCATCGGTCAAATGATGTTTTACTCTCGTGTGTCAACCCATGGACTTACTCTATATTTCAGTTTTATTAACAAATTCATCCGACAGTAAATGGCAGACCATGTTAGAGTTAGTGTTTATGAGTAGATTTAGATATATAAATATTTGGATGATTTTCTAAGGTGAATGAATAAAGACAATTCTACTGAAGATACATATGTGAGAGTGAGACAGAAATAAGGATACTGAAGATGATATTGTTAAATTGATCAGTATAAGTAGAGAAGTATGTTAGACAGTAGGCAACATGGCTAAAAGCAAAAGAGTTAAGGGGTGAGGCATATGTTCACATATCTATGATAAATACACGGGGGGTGAGAAATAATGTCTTAAAAATGTTATAGAAAAAACATACAACATTACTACTTATATATATGACTAGACGGGGACAATCTGCCGATTTCTATAATAATCGCTTATTTTCAAAGTACTTTAACGTTGGTCTTTGGTATTGTGTACTAGTTTGCATGATTACTGTATTTATCCATTAAACTGAAATGCGTGCGTACACATAAACACAAGTGCACAATCAAATGAATACAGACAGACTATAGATCAATATATACATATATATAGCCATGGCGAATAAAAATGGTCTAAATCTAGGTCAGTTCTGGTTTCCGGACATGTATGTTCAGCTATCTTACCCCATCTGAAACACTAACCCATGTATATGTTACAAAGATAGAAAAATATACAGAATCCGTCTATCATCCCTTCAGGTTTTATTGTATGATTATTTCTCCCTTTTTTAATTCTTTACTAGCTGTAAAAAGGACTTCATAGGTCCAGGGAAGTATAAAAATTAAACATTTTCTTTAAATTTATAAAAATATAAATTACAAACGCTTTGTTTAATTTGACGTTTCTTTTGTGTTTAGTCAAATACTAGAGCAAAATAATATAAGGGAGGAGACATAGAAGAATTCTGTTGTCTTAATACATTCCAGTCCCTGGGTTAATCAGAATCATTACTCTTCAAGATAGGCAAGAGTTTAATAGAATTCACAATTTATTTCGACTAAATAGTTAATAGCTAAATGATTTCCTTGTATGTTGTTGTTACTCCATATCAGCCTAATTATTTAAAATATCCTTTGTTGACCGATAACAGTTATGTTAAATCATTTCAATGTATATGACTGGTTGAAATATATAATAACTAAATAAATAGAGAATTACACAAGAAAGCAATCAAGTTGACAGAATTAAGATATCAGTATAGGATTGTGAAGATTGTCGAGCTTTATTTGAGATTATGGACTGACCAATGTTAGACCACAATTGGATAACTTGGCACTGGATGGTCGTCTCATTCTAATATCGAATCCATCAGTTGGGCTCGTCCACGATCCAGGTTTTCAATCGTGATCTAACGTTGATCAGTTCATGATCTCAACTTGAATTCAGATAATTCAACATGTACATGTTGAAAATTTAAATTGTTTAGTCATTTGACTGTTCAGTAATTAGATTGATACAGGTTCAAACTTCAAAATTACTTATCCTCATTTTAAAAATTGGAATAGTAGTAGTAGTAGTAGTATATTAAGACTTAGTTAAATAAGATTAGTTGAAAACTGGCTAAACGAATACCCGGTTGGTTGGTAAGTTGTGTTATTTAATTAAATTATTTAGATAGGTTTATTTAAAAAAAGAACTAGAATAAACTTTTCTCTTAGAAAAATATATATATTATATCTACCATTGTTGAATAGTCTTTATTGATTTTACAAATCAGGCAATGAATAAATTCAATTTGACAAATTAACTGAATGAAAATAGTATATTTTATCAACATCAGACGATCATCATTGAATTAAAAGAATTGGAATGTAAACAAATAACAGGTATCATTACCAAGGTTTGATTTGATGATTTCGAATAAATTGAGCATTGGGTAGATTGTTGTAAGTAATATATTTGTAATATCCCAAGTTTGGATTAATTTTAATTTGGTTATTTATTCTCTGAAGAAGTGACTTACACTAAGTCACGAAACGTCAGAAAATCTAATTTTTTACTCATTGGGATATTACAAATATATTATTTATTTATAAACAAATAACAGTTAAAATTCAGTTCAACCTAAATGTTTCCACTTTTTTATGATAAAATGAATTTGATAAAAAAATATGATGAATATAGTTAGTTTACTACCACTACTACTACTAATAATAATAATAATGATAATAATAAGCTGGCCATCGTAATGAATCGAATGTAAGAGAATAATTCAGGTAATTTAAAATAAATGTAGCTAGTGAAGGCAGTTAGCAAGGTGTGTGGTGAATCTTTCGAGGTCATAATTAATATGGTTGTGGATAGACATTTAAAATCATGTAAACTCCTGGCAGGTGTCATTTTATCAGATACTAGCCATCCCCTTCATTCTTATCTTTCTCCTTGTATATCTCTTCTGGTAGAACGAGACGTAATTACATTAAAATCCATGCACTCAAGGAAAAGTACAAATGTTCTATAATACCTTATCTAGCAAATATACTCTGTGACGAACAGGTTGTTAGAGTTAACCTAGTCAATAACTTGCATTTTTAACATGTCCTTAATTTTAAAAGTTGTAGCTTTTCGTTTTTTTTTAAAAAAAACCTTTTTCATTTTTTTTGTATTTGTTACTGTTTTTTTGTTGTTGCGTAAGTAACTTGTTGAAGTAACCTGTGCTGAGAATTCTATATTGTACCAAAATATAATATTGAATAAAGCCATTAATAATAATAATAATAATAATAATAATAATAATAATAATAGATAATTGCCAATTACATTTATTTTAAATCTTAAACCTAAGAAAGTGATACTCACGGTTATGACTCAGTGATACTTTTACAGATATGAAAATTTAAACATAAGAAAGATGGTTATCTCTTTACAAAAAATCAATATAAATATAATTTTCATTATATGCTGATATTTGGGAAATAGGTAGGATTTCGGTTTTAAATTGTATGAGTCACACTAGGTCGTTTTTCATCATGGATTATAACATAATTAACTTGTGTTTTATAAGTTGAAGTCAATATTTAGATCTGTGAACACTTGGTGCCAAATATCTTGTCATTTGTGATTCATTAGTAGGTTGATCAAATCCATTTTTGTACAGAAGTGAAGTAGTTTAGATCTTTTAGGCATCTTATATATCACGTTTAGTATTCAAATTATTATTAAATGTATTTTTGTTGTTTCTCTTTAGTTCAAGATTACTTTAACAGTGATCATGTTCACCAATTCATTATGATTTAAAGCTTGAACCATAAAAATGACTCTTTAAATGATCTTTACCAATTCAACCAATGAGAATACAGAAAATAAGATGTTGAATAGTTCACGATGATGACAAAGATCATAAGACTTAAGATTAAGGGTTAGAGTTAGGATTTAATTTACATAAAGACTAATTATGAAAACATAATCTTCATAATAAATAATAATGGTGACTGGTAAACGTTAATTGAAGGTAATCGTGTTTCCTAAGCTCTACATTCCTTATATACTTCAGTTTTACTCATAATATTTTTAAAACGTCAATTTTCATAAATCTTTAAGAGTATAGAACCAAACCAATATTTGAAATTAAATAAATAGGATATATCTTTCTTGTTCGTTTTTTTTGCTAAAAGTTAAAGTGAAACCCACTAATCAGTGCTACCTAATATTCTCCTTAACTGAATTTTTCAATTAATAACACTCTTCTATCTCAACGATCATCAAATATAACTTGATAATTTGTCAACATTAAAACAGGATATTCCTAGAGAGAGTTTTGAAGGATAGTTCACATCCATAGGTTTGGTTTAGTTAGAACTGAGTAGAGTTAGTTCAACCATGTCCAAAGAATGAAATAGATATTATCCATATCATTAGTCACATAGTATCTCACAAATTATTCAATGTCAGAAATGTTGTAGACTATTTGAATGTCAACTAAGGTGTGTTCTACTAATGTCGACAGATATAAGTAGTATGTGTCACCAAATAAAAGTGAAATGCCTGGCATCAGAAGGTTGTGAAGATCGAAGAGAAAAAAACGAGAACATATAGTGATTTTTATGGAAATGAAGGAACAAAAACGTCTGAGACAATTGATGGATATTTTGCAAATTAAGTATTTACTGTATTGTTCTCAGATTTTAATAAGAGATTCTGTAATTTTGTATTCCGATACATTTGGTTATCTCCGTCTTTGCTCTCGTTCGCTACAGTAATAGTCTGAAAATAATCCCCTCTTACAAAAATAGTTAAACCTGAAAGTCCCAAGTTTCAATAATTGGTAGATAGTTTTACAGTTCAGTCTGTTGAATGCTAATTGTTCATGAACTCGTAGAACAAAAATAGATTTTCAGGATTCAATAAGTGAAATCAGTCAATATGATAAAGTACATCATGTTTATGTTTTATTTTTTACACATCCCAACAAGTACATTTATTACATGTGTCATTATATACTATTACATTATTGTTAAATAATTTCAATGAGAGAGAAAGAAATACGAAGAATATCATCAAAGAATTTCATTTAAAAAAAACTTGAATTTGCTACTACAGGGAATCATGATAAGCACAATTCAAAGAAGACATATTAGGACGGTAGGTGAAGATTTATTTAACACAACAAATTCATGGAAATGATACTTTAGATACACTTATTTTCAATACAATTGTATTTACAGTCAGACTATCAGTCAGATTTGTCTAAATTGAATCTCATAGTACTTGATATGAAATGAATTAATAACTTAGTTTACTTCATCCTATCATTAAACAAGGTATAATCAACAGATATAACTAATTTACTTCGATTTATAATTACACCTTCTTAAAATGTAATCACATGTCAAGGTCGACTGAGGAAAAGAAGAAGAATTTCTTAAATGATTTACACCGATAACGTCCTTATGATCAAGTTTGTCACATTGTTATACACAGTCAAAATATAATGGTTTACTTTCATGTGTATTATATTTTACTTTTATTATTTACGTGATTATATCATTCTTCCCTATATATTTATGTATATCTTTTCTTCTTTCAATGTATATGTATAGTTGTACAACATGTATGAAAAGTTTTACACAAATGTCTAATTTGCAATCACATCAACGTCAACATATGAAAGGTAAACCATATCGATGCGAACAATGCTTCATGTCATTCGATACAAAAGAAGAATTAGATGTACACGTACAAGCAAAGCATTCGGGTAACCGATATGCGAAGGTGAGTAAAAAAGTGCGTAAAAAAAGTAAACACTTAAAATTTATTAACACAAAATAGTCAAACAATTATTGTCACATTTTTATTTAAATATTAATATTGTTTCCTTGTTTCGTTGTAATTTGTCTCTCGGTTCAATTTTGTTGGTTTGATTGTTCATCGTTTTTGTTTTATTTTCTGAAAAAAAATGGGGAATAAATCAAGATGTCAGGTAACAATCATTGAAAACCCATAAGTGTTGATTCTAATCATGTGAAGAAAACTCCATACTAGAAACGAATTATCGCGCAAATAATAATCATGTTCTTTGATTAGCATCTTAGTCGAACAATTAGCGAAGACTAGGAAACAGTGAACAATCGCTTAGCTGTTTCATCTCAGTGTTGAAATCACAAGCGTTATACGTTCACGATTCCACTGGGACTCGAACCCAGGGCTTTCAAGTCTCATAATCGGCATCCAGTAGTTTACATGGTCAGTCCCTATTGGTTTTTGGAAAGATATTGCAATGTCAGTGTTATCTGATTTTCAGTGATTTCTTAACCAGGAAGGTCACTTTATGGTTCATATAATGAAATCCGAAAATCTTCATGAACTCCCTATATCGAAGTGAATATCATATTTTTGTTAAACTAACAAATTTTTTGTACTGATAGAAAGTACTTAAATATTCTTGTCCTGGTTTACACTTATTTTATTAAAGATTCATATATATATATATATATATATATATATATATATATATATATATATAGTCAAATCCTCCATTCAAGGATGCTGAAATCAAAGTGAGTGACGCTAGATTCGAATCTGCCACCTACTGATTGAATATCGAGTGTTACTATGTCATGTTTTATCACACAGAGAGATCAGGAGTAAGTTGAGTGCAAGGTGTATGACTTATGTTTCACAAGAATAATAATACTTGTCAGTTGTTTGAAAGATATCACAACCATATTCTCAATACAACCAAAAGATTCCTCACTAATCGGACTCGTTACTTCCAATGATCAGGGTTCAAAGTAGAGCTATCTTTTCCTAAATGTTCGACAAAAAGGAATTAGTGGGTAGTGATTAAGCAAGTAGAAAATGTACAGAACATATATGAAGATACGCAATAAGTTGCAAAAATTAGTTCAAGGTTGTTTTAAAAAGCATGTAACTTTGTGAAGACGAAAAGGAAAATATAAATTCCGTATTGACACAATACACTAGGAACTGAAACAAGAAATCTTTACAAATATTCGCATCACTGTAGATAACATCTAACATTGTTTTAAAAACAAAATCATCAGAAGAAAGTATATTAGTGGTGACGGTGGGATTATTAAGTGATTGGGGGATTTGTGAGTGAGTGGTCAGTAAAAACATGAATCAAATGTATTAATTGGTTTTCTATGGATATTAAGACTTCCTTCCTTTATCCTACTCTTGTTTTAATTCTCCTTTATTTCTTTTTATCGTGTTTGAACAACTGCAAGTCTTTAGGATAAAATACCTAGTCTAGGGACATATGTAAGTCATTTACAATCTAGGAAAACAAATAATAAGTCTTTTGCATAAAATTTGAAAATTCAAATGATTTTTTTTGTTTAGATCATGCAAAATAAACAACCGGAATATCTATGTTCATAACATTTAAACTGATAAATAGAAATTAATTTATGCTACCATGGAGATAAACGATGATTTTAAGCGTGTTAAACAATCAGCTATTTTATTCAAATTGTGTATAACAGGCTGATGTGTTGGTGAGAATAAACATATTTTCTTGTTTGGTTATATGAGGCTCGTGAGACAGGACCGTAGAACAGGAAAGCAGTTGTATTAATCAAGTCCAAGTATTGATTAGCTAGTATAGATTACTTATATACTCTTAGCGACCTTCAACTAACCAATGACACTTTAAACGTGGGATAACTGAGAGCAACACCAAGTTGACTATTGGCCCGGAATATAGTTTTCTACGCTTGCTTGCCCGATATCCAGAGTGGAGAACAACTTAGCAACCAAACAACTTCTAATTATACAGTTAGAATTTCTGAATCATTCATACAGTAGTATGGAGCAAAATCCTGATCACATATCAACAGAATTAAGAAATTATAATTTTGGCATAAATACACCATAAGTGAAAGAGTATTAAGTGGTAGGTCCGTAATAGATTAACAATAATTTGGGAAGGGTAAAACACACAACAATAATTTATGCGTCAAACAAAAGCTTACATGTAGAGAAATACATGAGCACAATAGTTTAAGTATTTAATAGTTATTCAAAAAAATGTGAACAATAACTTCAAATAAGGACCGTTGAGAAAGTTTACCTTTGCCTAATATCTCTCTCGACGTGATACGGACGAGTCAGCTCTATCCCTCAATCTTTATTTTGAACTCTTAGTCCCAAACCAAACTAATTCGGTAGCACTAGAATTCATGAACAAACTAATTAGGTTAATAATAGGATTAAATGGATTTTTTATATGAAATTCATGCATCTATAAAGCTGCAAACGATTTTTGTGTTAGCAGATGATGTCGGTTTGTGATGAAAATGTTAACTTTGAACTTTTCTATCCCTAACCTGAAATACCTAATTCTAACCAAAGAAGTTAGAGACTTAAAAATTATTTTGCATTCTGTTAAGGTTTCAAGATAACGGATAATGTGTTTTGTTACATGAGTTTATATTCTATAGTTTTTTCACTCACGAACTAAGTGACCTGTTGAAAACTTTAGTCGTCGAGAATTCTTCGTATTTACTTTAAGATCGTCTGTATACTATACTTTTGACGTCTTGAGTGTTGTAGCGCAGTAGTGATTGAAAAGTTCGGTTTTTATGCACTGAGAGAGCTGGTTTGGAGTTGATTTTGTTACTTACTGTGAGATCTATAAAAAAACGAGTTGCAATATATTAGTCTCTAAGATTAGTAAACAAATACAAATTACTATTTGTAGCATTCATGCTTCAGTTTATAATTTGATCGCCAATTTATGCATAAATCTTATCTAAAATTACGTTGTAATTATAGAAAACAAGTTAAATACTCACAGTTTATGAACATGAAATTGCCGTGTTTCTGTGTTTCATTCAGACCAAAATGAAAAATAAATTCTTTAATTATATGAATGTAAAAAAGATACAAGTGTTGTAACGGGTGCTAATCCATTGGGGTTTCCCCGCGTGGGTTCGAATCCCATCCTCGTCGCCACTGATAAGTCGTGTAGGTTGAACGCTATATACGAATCGTAAGTTATTCCCGTAACCCGCAAACTAGAATTACACAGCAACTTGAACTCCAGAAAGAAGATACAAGTATGAGAGAAAACACTTTATCCCAAGGTTCATTTTTGTACAGAAAATCAAGGGTATTTATAGATGTTGGCGTCTGTTAAATCAACATCATTTTTCAGCCAATCCGTTAACGTTATATTATGCTACCGACCAATGATAGCACGCCACGCTGGAATTCTCGAACGTTCCATCATACTCTGATTGGCTAGGACTCTTCGGCTCCTTTTGGGCCTCCGGAGGCTCCGTTGGAGTTCTCCGGAAGCCGACCCAACAACAAGACTGTTATATTTGTAGATTATAATGTTCGACGAAAGTAAACATTTTTAATTTTAGCCGAGTTTTAAATATACACACCAGAAAGCAAAAGAAAAAAAGAGAGATAAGAGCTAACCGGAACTAACTGTACATAGAATAGCACTCCTTAAACGAAATGAAGTCACAAAAATAATAAGACGAAACTTAAGTTACTTAATTATAGAAAAGTAGTTTGTAATGTAACACTAAACAAACGATAAGTATTTATACGAATATTCGTCAAGATTAGAACGAATAGTTTGACAGAAATCGGGTGTCGAGTAAAGAGAAGTCATTATATGTGAAAAATATATTTGAAATAATCTCAGCGTTTGAAATTTAAATAATTCCAACGTTTTGTCTGGTTAACCCTGAAGAAGCCCGGACAAGTTAGCTGGGCGAAACGTTGGAATTATTTAAATCTCAATCTCTGAGATTATTTCAAATATAATTTTCACATATACTGAAAACGATAAGTAGATTGTGTTTAATTTTTTTACACTTATTTAACACATGGTAACACTTTAAATCACATTTTTTTAAGTAGAACAGCTATGGAATTCTAAACTCAGATTTGAATGAATGACATGTGATGTATGGTTGTAGATAACCTTAAACAAGAAGTAGGCCATAATTGTAGTTTTATCACTCATTAACAAGGGACATAGCTGGAATATAAGTAGAACAAAGGTTTTGCCACAGATTTAAATTCATTGTGTAACGTCACTTTGTTTAGTATTTCATCACAGATAGAATTTGATCAATACTAACAGTTAGGAATTATGATACAGGTAATCGATTAATTACAACGGACAAGTCTTGAAAATACCACTAAATTTGATGTCTGGTATTTCTCTTAATGTATTCACTAATTATTAAGATATTATGTTCACTCAATAATGTGATATTGTAGTCAAAATAATAAGGTTAAATTTATAATGCTGAAATATGTAGAAGATACAACTCATAGTATGAATAATAAGGGAATAAATCACACCTTGTGATAAACAAAGGTAATTTAATAAATATTGTGATTTTTTGACACTAAGTCGAAATTTTTGTGTTAGCACTTCTAATATACTTTTAAATAATCTATTAAGTAATAGTAATTATAACCATCCTGTGAATATCCTAGACTCAGGTTCGAGCCTCATAAGGAATATCAGTTCTTTTATGAATACAAGCTTGCTACGCTGATTGAAGAGTTCTAACTAGCATAAAACCTAGTCTAGGGTGTCTTACTGGCTATCTTCAATTATCGAACTCATTGATAGACATTTTATTTGCTCTCCTGCTTAAGGCCTTTCAAGTACTTTAAATCAATGTTTGGAGACGGGTTAGATTAGTCAAACTATGTCATAGTCATTGTTATTCGTTCACTATCATTTTCGTACAAATCTTAAATGTATGGTTTCATTCTGAATTTCGCATTTTTTAAATTTTGTGTACCATTTAAAATTGTATTCCTCATGTTTAAATTTCCATTTAATTACAAAGTAAAATTCTGTCTATTAATTTATATCTTGGTTAACACCACATTTTTGTTTTACTGATAAGTATTATAACAAATCCATGGTCTTTCTACGCATTGCTGATAATTGATTAAGTAGTAAATGAAATTGAGACATTATATCACTCAAAATAATAATTGACATAATACAACTAATGATAATATGAGAAAGATAAAAATATAATTTTTTAGACAAAGATAAATAGACACCATATACTACTTACTTGTCAATAATTCAGTTGTTGAAATCTAAAATACGTGTCTTTTAGCATGTATATTTTAGAGTTGATGGCAACCAACAGAGTTCGTTACACAATAAATACTTTGCAGTTAAATAGGCAATATATTGTTTCATGTATGCACACCTACATAATGATGGTAATCAGAATAATAAACGTTATAAAATACATAAGAACATAAGAAAATACTGTTCATTAGAACTAAGGTTGGTGTTGAGTCTATCGAGGCGTCCGAATCATCCAATTGAGATATACGCAAAAAACGAAGTTCACAAAGCAAGAATTTGTCTAAAATAGCGGTTTTTTATTAAATAATTTACAAAAATTAGTTACAAACCTCAACTTGTGAGGTGTCTATGGCGTTTACTGTGTCCTTTTGTCTGAAATGAAAAGGCTTCGACAGTGCAAAAATGACAGCCTTTGGTTCTGTTTAAACTTGATAACTGTTTATCAGCAAGCAGAAATCGAACTAAGAGCAAGTAATATGGAAACTGTTGCGTTTAAACGAGAGTTAAGCGATTGCACAAAATTGAGAATAACTTCCACAGTGGTTGAGATAAAGTAATTATAGTGATAATTATAATAAATATTTTAAGTATATGTAAATATTTCAAAATATTACACGACAAACTTGCGTTACAGCATGTGCGTAGAAATAGCTAGGAATACAACTATTTACTGAATATTAATAAATAGTATAAAACAATACACAAAGTAGTCGAAGGGAAGTGAATAAGGACAGATAACGTAAAACAGACTTACCAGATAGTTTAGATGGTTATTAATAACTCGTTTTATTTGATATATATATAAGGTCATTATCGATGTGAAACCTTGAACAAGTGTGCATTTGTTTAAATCGCGACACTTTACATTGACGTAGCAAAACGAGTGGTTTGGGATGGGAAATGACTTAGAAATTAATGGAAATGTAAGTAGGAGAAATGGTTCAAAAGAATTAAATGTGGTGAAAGATTGAAGAGTTAAGCATAATACCAGCTTGTATTTGTAGAACATAGAGAAACATATCATTGTTTCTGAATTTTCGCCAATATTGTTTAGGTCATTTGAACTGATGACACGTTGTCTCCATCTGGCCTTTTGAAAATTTACAGTCTGCTTTTATTTTGGACACTAATTTATAACAAAGCAATGCTTGTGATGGATTTTTATATTCTCCGAGTGTAATAGTTTGCTTCAAGACTAGTCTATGTTTATCCGTGGTCGGACATGGTGATCATTTCTCACTAATCTTAGAATTCTTGCCAGTTATTTTGGGCTGACGGACGACAATATCTGGACACAGAAACAAAAATCCCTCTTCATTTTTACCCTCTTGTAACAAGTAGGGAAGGTTTATCCGACTATCAAGTGGTGAGTATTCTAAACAATGAAAATTGAAATCGAAAACAAAAGGTTTGCATGAACTTTAGCAATGTGATCATTAGTGTTTTTGAGGCAACCTATTATGTGAACAATACTGACACCAGTTGTAAATTACTATGCAAAAATGACAAACAGATCAACGATGTTGTAAATCTTCGTTAAAATAGGGGGTGGAGAAATGTAATACATTATTTAATTACCATGTACCCTGATTTTGTACTGACTAAATTTAGGTTGAATAAATTTTAAAGATGATCAGAAAAAGGAACATGGCTCCAAATAGATTATGAAATCATGAGCTTTTAGTCTATGCCCCATCAGGAGATACAGATCTTCTGGATGTGATTAATTAGATAATGATAATCCCGATTTTCAGACCTTAAGTGAGTTAACAGGAAATCAGTGATTGTAACACATGTGTTCACTCTGAGATTCTATGTAAGTCTGACAAGCATTTATTTATTAATTTATTTTCATGTCTCAATTTCACTCATCTCCCTTGAACTATTTTTCTGATTCACTTCTGAAGAGTCTCATACCAGGACGAAAGCGCTATCCAATTTTTACAGGTTTCCAATGATTGTCTAAACTAGATCGGTTTGTAATCTCAGTAAAACTCAACAACTTTCACAATCCCCATACTGAACAACATTCTGTACTATCATTTGGACATTTTATTTTATTTCCCTCTAATTGTCATTAGTTCTTCCTCATTACATTTAAATTCATGTTAAGATTGATCAGTTTGCATGAACAAATCTCCGTTATCCTATAAATAAATTAACTTATTAAGAAATCTTGTATAATTACCAAGTTAAACAAAATTGACACGTTTTTTTTATTGATTTTATCAATTGTTCTATTTTCTTCACAGGTATTAGTCTGTCCAATATGCACGAAAAACTATAATTCTGAAACATATTTAGCAAAACATGTGGATCGTCATAAAGAGGCTGCTGCTACGGCTGGTATGGACGGAAATGGTTCAAACACTAATAATGGTAACAATAGTAATAACACTAATCGTAATAATAACAACAATAGTAATAATGTACGGAACCAAACATGTGTGGATAATCTATTTGCTGCTGGTTTCCATAATCATTCAGTTGCAATGGCTGCCGCTGCTGCGTCAGCACTTAGTCGAGGAAATATGATTGAGTCAGGTTCAGGTTCGCATATAACCGGTAGCCGTCATTCACATGGGAGTGGAGGAGCAGGCGGTGGCGGTAGTATTCATTCACACAATCCACACCCTTCTGCTGCTGCTGCCGCCGCTTCAGCGGCTGCGGCGGCTGCTGTCGCTGCAGCTCATGCACACCAAGATTTACATCTACGTGCTGTAGCGGCCGCGGCTGTAGCGAGTGGTAATGGAGTAGTTGGAGTTGGTGTTGGCAATCGTAGTGGTGTTAATGGTGTTAGCCTTGGTAATGGTGATATTGAGAATCCATGCGCTTTTTTTAGTCCAAATGTAATATGTTCCAGTGAGACACGAGTGACTAGTTCTAATGAGTGTGATTTATTACATAATAAATTAAATTATAGCTCAATGTCCAGTGCTGGATTATTTCATCATTTACCGGTAGGAGGTGTCCATGATTCAAATGTTGAACATTTAACCGCTGCAGCTGTAATTGAACAACAACAGCAACAACAGCAGTGTCTTGCATCACATCGTCATCAACAAGGAACACATTTTACTACAGATGATAATAAACATATAAATTCGTTTAATCATTCAAATATCATGAATAATATATCATCAAATCATCATTCACAATCTCAACAACAATATAATCATCATCATAATCATCCTCAACAACAGCCACAACATCAACAGCATATTCACACGAATCAACGTAATCTTCATTCATCGTCGTCCTCCTCATCATCATCTTCGTCATCATCATCTAAACGACAGTCTAATATGAAATCATCTTTATCACCGCAATCAAATCATCGTTACACTGAGTCACCAGTAACAAATGATTCACAAACTCAACAACATTTACTTAATTTAACACAACATCATTTGACAACTACAAAACATCTTTGTTCTTTATCAATTGAGCCGTCGACGGTTGTGGCATCATCAATGGATTGTTATATTTCAACTCGGGCTACTTCAACAACACCACCGAAAGAAATGACAGCAGTGAGCAATGGTACTAATAATACTACTACTACTTCTACCACTAGTACTACTACTACTGCTAATACTACTCAACAACATTCACATATTCATGCAACAATAAATAATAATAATAACAGTAGTATCAGTAACAATGGTAATAGTGGTGATGATACCATTCATATAAAACATTCACATAATGAATCAATGTCGTCACAGCTTCTACCGCCTCCGGCTCACCAACATTGTTTACAACCGACTCAAACTAATCATTTGATTGGATCTCATACATTTGTAGAAGGGGTTGATAATAATGGTGGTAACGATAGTAATAATAATGAAAAATTATCGGAAACCTCGAATTCTACGACCAATAGTCACTCACAACATTATAATCATCCTCAACAACTACGTATTGGATTATCACAAGCTCATTCCAATCAAACATTATTACATAATCATGTAAATAATAACTATTCATCAGCACCAACATCACCAGGTGTATTCAATTCAACAGGTGGTGGCTTGTCAACATCATCATCGGATAATATATCAACATTTGAAGAATTTAGTCAAAGTTTAGTGAAACTTGATCATAGAGATTCTATCAGTAAGTGGTTTAATAATGATAGAATTAAAGATAATAATAATAATGTAGTAACTAGTAGTAAGAATAACAATAGCAACGAAGTCAATTATTGTGATGACAATCATGATGATAATGATGATGAAATGGAGCACATGAATGAAGATAACCATGAATCACTCATTAATGTAATCAACAATGATAATGTTAACACTTCAACAATTAATAATAACAATAATAGTATTAAGAATGATATTAATACATCTAATCTTATGTATGATTTTTTATTTCATGGAAATTCAAATATTGATGATAATGAACAAAGTGAAACAATCAATAAACCAAATCACCATATAGAAATTATTGATACCCATGGGGTTGAACGCGAAGAACAGCCCGACACTGTGACCGATTGTGTTTTGAATTACGAAAATCATTTGAGTAAAGCTGAAGAAATCATATTTAACGTTGAAGAATCTCCACTTAATAAAAATCAAGTCTGTCAACCTATATCATCATCAGTGTCAGGAACAAAATCAATAACAACGGGATCACGATCATCACCAATTTCATCGCAAATTTTAACACAACGACTAATAACATCCGTGGAGACCAAATCATGTAATGGTAACCTTCGTAATGGGATACCGCTATCAAGGTCATCATCGTCATCATCATCATCGTTATCATCAATCGAGCCTATTAGAACTGATGATGTGACTTCAAATACATTGAAACATGGACAGTATACTTGTCAGTTAACCAGTGACAATAGTGAACGTAATGCACTTGATAATGAGTCTATGTTAAATCTTCAACATGAATCATCTAACTTACATGACGTCAATGAAACCGATGATCAACATATTATGTCTAATAAATTAAAATCAATCGATATGGAACAATTATTCCCCAGTAATAATGATAATAATAACGAGGACATAACTAATTTAGATAACCTTAACATTAATGACAAAATTATCTGTGAGAATTTACAACTGAATAATAACACTGATACAACTCTAATGAATCATCGTTCATTGAAACGTAGTTTATCCTCAAACGACAATTACCAACATAATCGTTTGAAAAATCGTCATCATCAAACAGAAAGTCATGATATGGAGAATGGTGATGAATTCTTGACTATATCATCATCATTACATCATAAACATCATAATATTATCAATAGTAGTAATGAGAAGAATTCAATGAACATGTTATCATTAACATCACCAGCGAATATATGTGATGTAGATAATTTTGATCATGATGGTGATGACGATGATGATGGTGATGGCGAAGATGCAGATAATGACATTGATGATAAGAATACTGTTTTTGATGATAATGACAATGTTGATATTAATCAAAAAACTGTTGTAAATAAAACCAATGAAAATAATAACAATGATACTGTCGGTTGTAATGTTGATGATCATCTACAAGCAATGGATCATTTAAAATCAGAGTTCAATGATCAAACTCCATTTTATTTAGGTGAAAAAAGTCAACCAGAAGAAACTGTAGATCAGAATTCTTCTTTATCGTCAACAGTTATAGAAAAACAACATTTAGAAACAATCAATTCTAGTAAACGAAGACGTCGACATCAGTACACACCACAACATTTGCCTGTGTTTGAATTGAACACAAAAGATACAATAGAAAAATGTAAAAATAATAATACTAACAGTACTACTACTACTACTTCTACCAATACTATAAGTAATAATAACAATAGTAAAAATGCACATGCTACAGTAATTGCAGGCTGTTTTACAAATCGACGTAATAAAAATGGTCATAGTATTTTAGAAAATGGTGATAGCAAATGTTTAAAGAAAGAAAAATTAAATGATAAACCCAATACAATAGATAACAATAATTTTAACAAAGATGATGGTAATTTTAGTAGTAATGATACTAATAATAAGTCAACGAATAGGGAATGTTATTTTCCTGCTTTTTAAATAACATTTGTTTATTTTTATTGACATGAATAGAAGAGACTGTACAGTATGATTGATATATGAGAGTTTCGATTCTTGCGAATATTTACTAATTGTTATCTCAATTCAAATTTTAAACATTCTAATATATATATATATATATATATATATATATATATATATATATATATATATATATATATATATATACGCTGGTTTTGCTTTAGATTACAAAACAGATGACCCCCTTTCCACAAACCCCATACTTTTTTAACGTGCTACTCTATTCATTTTTCTTTTATTCACTAAAATCATCGAATATCCCGGTCATAAATATGCTTTTTTGATTCGTCTTATAGATTATTATTGTTGTTATTATAAACGTTAATAAGACTTTATGTCATACAAAAAGATATTTAAATAGAACTTTCTTACATATTTCAAAGGTGGGGACAGTTTTTTCAGTTAAAGTATACTACTCATCTATGTTTAAGTAGGTCAACGAACAATGTAAAAAATATCACTGCTTGTCAGTACATTTAATTGTGATTTGGTTTATCATCAGTTTTAATCCCTATTTTCACATATTCATGCGCATATTTCAGAATTACCAATAAAACAAATGAAAATTAATGGGAATTATTTTTTCATAACCTTGAATAAACAAACGAGTTATTACTATTATTGTTCTTATTATTAATATCATCAGATTATTAAGTTTCATCATACCTCATTTCATAAATAATTATTTAACTAATAGTGTAACATATTTTTGTTCATTTTCATGACATTACGCATACACATTATACCGGTATTTCATTGAACTAACAACGTATGGTACTTTTGTGCACTTCACCAAATTTGAAATATAAATTATTTTGAAAGCAAAATATAGTTTATCCTTTATACGTTCAACCGAAATTGGAATTGGCTGAAGAGTGAAGAAATGAAAGTCATAAAATTTTGGATAAGATTTGAGAAGATTAAATGGAAATAGAAAAAGAACTCCAGAACAAGGAATAATAAGGAAACTTGACCCTTTCTCTCTTTGCAAAATGATAAATAAAAAAGGTATTATTTAAGAGAAAAGATCTGTCATATTTTTCTACGCTTCATTTCTTATATATATATATCTTAAGAACAACTCTCAGTTTGCCATTACTTTTGAAAATATGTACACGTATATATGTGTACTCATGTACTAAGGAAATTTATGTTTGTTTACGGATTACTTTACAATTTACTGAAGGAGTAGTAAAATGAAAAGAATTGGAATTAGGTTACTTTGTGTTTATTTGAGTTGCTCTTCACTCTGCGCACCGCTAACCCACTACCGATATTTAGTAATAACTATATTGACTGTTTTTTGTCATTTACTATCTTATTATCAAGAGTAGCATTATCAATATTGTATTTGTCACGATATGTTTGGATTTACTGTTTCATCACATTCGTATTGTCCTTACTATCCCGTCCCGTTGATAATATTTATCTTCATCGATCGCATAATACATTTACGTATACACATTAAAACATTGAAAGTAATCTAAAGTCATCTTATCAGTAAAATGTTGAAAATCTTACTTTATACCATCTGGCAATATACAAATCATGTATGTGTTATTTTATATCACAAAACCATTGTCCCTCCTCTCTCTATCAATTGCTCATCTGTATGTAGATAAGCAAAAACCAGCCTTGAAATCAAACGATCAATGTAAAAATGTTTATTTCAACCGTTTTTTTTATTTACTTATAATGAATGTTGTGTTTGAGTAAAACAAGTAGAACAATGATCATTATAAATTAAAATTGAAAATACATAAAGAATATTTATTAGAATGGTATGATGATATTTTGGCTATAATTATTGTCATTTGTATGATATTGTATTTTGTTAAAGTTCAGTCTTAATAATATTAATGTAAAGTAATTGACTGTTTTATTGAATTCAATATTATCACACCTAGTCAAAAATATATTTGTATCAGAAGAGGTTTTGGGGATATTATAGTAATTTTAATAATTAAGATCATTAATCAATTAAAGCTACACCACCATGGAAAACCTGAAAGCACTGAACAATCGTTTCGTCTTATTGTTGACTCTTCAGCAGTGCTCATCCACGACCCCACCTCGCGAGATTCGAACTCAGGACTTACATTTGTTTAGAGTTTTCTTTTTTGCCTCTTAATAGGATACGTTACATGTGTGTTTCAAGGAAAAAACAAGACCGGGAAATAGAATGATTATCCATAAAGATGTTAGTGCGTGTGTTTATGTTAAATCATTTAGCGTTGTCTATCATTTAAATCATTACTTACTGATCAGTTGGTTTGTGCGTATCTTCAATAGAAAGAATTCAAGTAGCTGTGTTAGAAATCTAAAATTATATATTTGTAGGTGACTACATTTACTGTGCATGAAATGTAATTTTCACATTTATCCTTCAGATCATTCATTCACTTATCTGTTTGTTTGTCTTTATCGATTAGTACAATTTCTATCTATTGAACTTCGTTCTATTTATTCGCCTGTCTCTGATATTCTTTTCCCCGTATCCTTCTCACACAAAAATAGTAATCACGTATACGGCTCTTGGAAAATGATACATTTGCATTAACTATATCTCTGGTGAAGTCAAGTTAAAGTTTAACTTGTTTCATCACTCACCAGTTCTTCTTGTTCTCCCTCCCTCTCTCTCTCTCATGTTCATTTTACATCAAGGAACCCAGTAACTGAACAAAATTCATCTATTTTTAAAAAAATGAAATACACGTGAACTTTTAACCAGAACAGAAACTTTTAGCCAATCATTACAGACATTAGATGTTTTCAGACGAGAAAATTCTAACACTAGAAGATGAGTAAATATCTTTAGTGCAAATTATGTGTTAAATAATGTTTTTCTAAATATAATTCAAACGAGCTCATAAAAGAAACACGTGATGAAAATTACTTTATTATTATTACTACTATTGTTATTGTCAATTACTTTTTGTATAGACAATTATCTCTACCATCACATTTTGTGCCTCACTCTCGTTTATTGTCGAACAAGAAAAAAACATCAGTGAGAAAATGTCATTGAACTTTTTTTTAAATGTCACCATTTTTTATTTTGTTCTATTTTCTTCTTCAGGAAAAACTTGTTCCAGTGGATATAAGATCATATTCTTTTCGTCTATTTTGTCAAATTGTTCGCAGATATTTTATTCGAGTTCTATTTTTTACACGATCATATAAGTTTTAGTGTTACATTTTGACTACTTACAAGTAGTAATGATTCACAATCCATAAAAGTGAGAATGAATTGATAATGAAGACTTAACCATTAAATGTAAAGTTATACACAGAATTTTAGCAATGTTAGAATATTTTGGCAAGACTAAGTGGTTCGGAGTTTGAGACAAATCGATTTTTCTTTGATAGAACACTGAGGCAGTTATAAGACTAAAAACCCACGGACACACCAACCAACGACAAAGTTGTGCGCACAAATTGCATGTAAGTTCATAAGATTGCTTAGCGGAAGTTGTAATTCTAGAACTTATGTCTACCAAAAACCAGTTTATTAATACAGGATTAAGTAAAAGAATGACACTGAACACTTCATTGGTCTGGATACATCATTAGTAAATCGAGACACTGATATCGAAAACCAGATTCCAGGGATAACGTATTTATATGCACGTTCTGAGTACATTGTCCTACTGCAATGTATAATGTTGTAGATTGCCAACGTAGATTATCTGCGTCGAATAATTGTATGCCTATTCAAGTTAGACGGGAATGGTTTGAACAACCAGCTAACGTCAAAGTCATACCTCGCGGTTAGTACCTAACATGGATTACCCTTTCATTATATCCAAGTTCTATGACTGCTTTGATGACCCTACGACACAAACGACGTTATTATAGAAATATGTTAATAAGAGAAGGTACATGGAACAGAGTGTGACCAGTGTTGCATGAGCCATTTCATGGCGTACAATTAACTAAGGCGCCCTGGCTGTTCTTGACCTTGACGAGGATCAGTGAACTGTTCGAAATTCTGTGATATTTCACTGGCCTTACAGTACTAATTAAAAAAGAAAACAAGAAAATGTAAAGGCTTTCGAATCAAATATATGAGTCATATAATCAATTTACTTTGTATTACATCATAAGATATAAGCATTGTAATAGTCAACAGATTACATCTTGGAGTTCAAAGCATTTATCAGTCTAAATCGAAAGTAATCACAATTATTCAGACTTAGCCTATTATTGTTGTTAACCTGTTTATTCCTTCAAAACTGATGTCTTGTGTCTTTTTTAATCCGTATTGATATTAAGCGCTGAATAGCTAGGTTATTGCAAAATAAACAGATGTTATGATTATGATTTTACAGAGTTCTACGTTGTAGTTTTTGTCAGACCACTATGGTGGTCTTTTTGTCATAGTTGTACAACTTTCAGTTACACCGTTAATCAAGATAATTAATAAACTTTATATTTAAATAAATCTTATACATAATAACTAATAACACTGTTAAAAAGCAATCTTTTGAACGTACATCTGGCTAACAGCAGATTTTCCCGAAATATTTGAGGTTATTGAATCAATGCTCACAACACAGGCTGTATGTGTGTTTGTGGAGAGGGGGGGGTAAAGTACACAATGATCCATTATCTCAAGCTAAAATGCGATAAGTTCAACTACTTTCAAATGGTTGAATATCATCCTTTTCTATTTTCTCTCAATAACAAGAAATAGTAAACTGCAAGATACTTTGATTATTATAAATTCATTTACTGTTATGCCTCGATAAGAATAATGAATGGTAACTTTGGGATCCATTTGTGGACCAATACTTTACTTATATTTTTACCGCATAATTGTTGATCAACTAAACTATTCATACTCATGTCTCTCTTATCATAAGCTTTATTTTAACCTATAAACTGTTATTATACGATTTTCCATTCTTGAATTACTCCTTGTCTATTAGTCACTGCCTCCCTCATTCACAGCCACATCTGGCTAATTCTTGTACAAATGTTGTTTCATATTTTATTGGTACGTTGTGGTCTTTTTGATTGATATATAAACTCAGTATATTTGAAATATAATGATTCTTACGCAGAGGCTGAGATTGGTGTTCTGGACTTAGCTGGCTGGGCTAGGCGGAAAGCAGGACCAATCAGAACTCTAGGCTGCTCGCACGTGTTTTACGCGCCCTTGGTCCGATCGATAAGTCACTGCCCTCTAATCGGCGGTCACAAGTTATAACATTTACTAATTCAATAAAACAACTGTTAAGAGTTGAAGTTGTGGTGATTTCTGAACCTCATTAAAAGCATAGAACGATCTAATTTAGATCACCATTGGAGACTCAAAAGCGTTAAACAGTATGGAAGATCTTGGATATTCACTGCTAGAGAGTCCCATATCAGGGATGAAATGTCCATCCAGTGCTTTAAGTTTTGCAATGGTAGTTTACGATTTCAATGAAACAAATTGTTTAGTTTACAGATTTCAGTTCATATTGATCGGTGTTGTAGTTAAATGTTTTACAAATTTAATCAGTGAAATAGATTATCACGTTGCTGTTTTTTAATGTTACATAGAGATCAATAAATCGGTCAACTTATGGATTTATTATCTACTATGTCAATAAAGTACAATAAATGTAAACATATATTTTATATTTATTATTCGAGGGTTGTAAAGCACCTAGTAAAATGTTCATCACATTGTTCGTTGAGATTTTATTCAGAAAAACTATGTTATTAATAAATAAACATGCGGAGAATAGTCATATTTTGATTAAAAAAAAGTTAACTAATCAGGTTGTCGATATTTTATTCAACTACACTATGATTGATTTTACTATTATGGTGTTAGTTAGTTAGTTTGTTTGTTTGTTTTAATTAATAAGTGATGTAACGGATGGTTGACTGGAATGATTTTTAACGTTCAGAAAAAAGAATCCTACAAACAATAGATTTTATAATGGAATTAATCAATTTAATAATTGAATTCATGAGTCTAGTAAAGCTAGACCACCATGAAAAATCTGGAAGCACTGAACGGCCGTTTTTTTTATCCGAGTATGGGACACTTGAGCAGCGCGCATCCATGATCCCACCCCACGAGATTCGAACCCATAGATTTTTTCTAAAAACAAAGTGGCGGTAAAATAAGACAACTAAGCAATCTTAATCATTACATCATCAGTTTCAATTTATCGACAATTCAGTCTTTAGTATTTCGGTAAAGTTTAATGAAGTTAAACATAACAAGTTGGATTTTTTCTCAACTTTAGGCAGGAAAAATAATTTGTTTGTTTTTTGGCCATATGAAGATATTTTAGTCGGTATATAAGTAAGCAAAATGACTTGTCCAAGTTTCAATTCAAAACGTTTATTGACTAAGTGATGTGGTTTTTCTTTTTAGTTGTGAGAACTTATATGACAAATCAAATATTCAAGTTTTATAGAAAGAATAACTTCTTTATGAAATAGGCACTAAGAATGTTGTCCTATACAACATTGAAAGCTTTATAGGTAATCCTTCTAGATCAGAGAGAAAGATAGATAACAGAACATTATTAAAATGGAGATAATTTAGTAAAAGATAATAAGTCGATATAGAGTTCATGTTTTATTAACTGCAAACTTTCGAAAGATCATTATTTATTGAAATCTGAATTGACAACTTCATAGAAAAATCAAATAAGTTTTAACAACAATTGTTTACTGGTTATATAATTTGATTGTGAGATGGGTGCTAGATTTGAAGCGATTACAAGTTCACTAAGTCTGCAAACGAAACAAAGACTTGTAACCAAAGACCAATAAACTAGCTATTCTGTTGCGTCCCAGCCCCGCTAACTAAAGAGAGAAGTCGAAGTCCGAACGGAGAACCATACTCCGCAAAAAGTCAGAAGCATGAG